ACCCCTGCTCTAGATTCCCCGTTGCCTCCACTGGGACCGACCCAACTATCCAGAAAGGAACGCCCCCCCCCACCTTCCAATGCCTTGCTGCATTCAGCTTAACAAAGAAGAACCGAGCCCTTCGCTTCTAATGCGAGCTCCAAGCGAAATAGCGACGCGTTTCTGCCCTTCCCGGCCAGTCTTGCCAGCCGGGCATCCAACCTACAAACGAGCAGGTTGCAACACACGGAGCATTTCCGACCGTCAAGCCGGCGCAATTCCCCCCCCCCCCCCCCCCCCACCAACAAATGGCAAGCCCTTTTTGGAAGCATCTTTTGGCCCAACTGCCCCAGCCGTCCCGTTCGCCTCCGCACAAAAGTTCCAGGAGGCGAAATTGCACCTCGCGATGCTCGGCAATTCATGGCAACGTTGATCCGGAGGCAGGTCGGTCACGGAGGCCCCTTTTTCCTTGGAGTGGCCGGTTGGAAGAGGTCTTGGCGGCGGCTTCCAGAGGGGCCACCTCCTCTCCTCCTCCCCGTACCCTCCTCCCCGAGAGCGGAATCCCAGCGGAAAGTCTGCGGAGGGGATGCCGCGCAGCTCCCGGGAACCGAGAGGCGCTTCCACCTCCTTTCAGGGCAGGGACTTGCCGGCCGCTCTTCCCAGGAGACGGCCGGCGAGGGGGGCACGCTCGGGCCCCCGCCCGGTCCGCGCTCCAAAGGCACGGAGGCCGCCGCCGCCGCCGCCGCCCGGGAACTCTTCGCAGCCGCCCGGGCGAGGGTCGGCGGGGAAAGGCGGCCGGGCGGCCTCCACGCAGGAGCTATTTTCGGCGGCGCTATTTTCTCCCCGGGACGGAGGCAGCTGCGGGACCGGCGAGGGTCGGGCGGGGCCGGCCCGGGGCGACGGCTGGACGGGCCCCGAAGGCGCCTCGGCTGCCCTCGACCGAGGCTCCCCTCTCCGCGACGCCGACGACGGCCGCGCGCAGCCCCCCCACCCCCCGCCGCCGCCCCCCTGCGCCCCCACCCCCGGGTACCTACTTGGTGTTGGCGGCGCTCCAGGAGACCGGCTCCAGGCTCTTGGCCAGCAGCGGCGGCGCCAGGCGGCCCAGCGCCAGCAGCAGCGCCAGCAGCCCCCGGCACAAGCGCTCGGGGCGTCCCGCGGGCCGGCCCATCCTCGGCCGCCACCGCCACCGCCACCGCCGCGGCTGCTCCGGCGGCGGCGGCGCCTACTCCGGCGATGCGACCCTCCGCGGAGCCTCACGGGCCTGCCATCGTGGCGGCGGGGCGGCGGCGCAGCAGCAACCCCGCGCTCTCCCGCCTCGTCCCCGCCGTCGAGCGCCCGCGCCGGCTCCTCCGCTCGCACTGGGCGCGCCGGGCGACGCCGCGCGCTCTACTCTCCGGCGCAGGCGATCGCGGCGGACAGCCCTCGCGGCGCCCAATCGCAGAGCGGCGCCCGGGGTCCTCGCTCGCCGCCGGACGGGGCGTGGCCAGCCCCACCTCGACAGGGAGGGGCGCGCCGGACTCGGCGGGGCGGGGCCGGGCAAGCCGCCAGAGGCCTCGCGAGGGAGGGAGGGCGGCCCTTTTCTTCCTTCCTTCCTCCCTTCGCGGGCGCGAGCGGCGGGCTCCCCCTGCCGGCGCCGCGCGGGAACGCAGGCTGGTGGGCGGGGCCGCGGGGAGCCGGTCCTCGGGAGGCCCCGCCCGGTCCCGCCGCCCCCCCCTCGGGGCGGGCCGTTGTGGGGGCTCCGCGGTCGGTTTTGGGGTCAATGACAACCCGCATTGAGACGAGCACGAGAGGCGGCCGGCTTTCCTGCCCAAATGGCAGCCGCCGGCGAGCGCGCCAGCCCGGGCAACTCTGTTTCCCGGGCGGGGGTCTCGCACCTGCCGGAGCCGCACCGATGACCTCGGGGAGGACCAAGCAAAAGAGTGCTGGCGAAGTCGGAGGCGGGTTGGCCCCAGTGGGAAGGCATCAGGCTGGAAAGCAGGAGGGGGCCAGGTGGGACCCGACTGGCTGACCTCGCAGGGTGGTGATATTGAGGAAAAGAGGCGGAGAAAGGAATCGATCCATCTGCAGCTTTTGGGTTCTTTATAAGAATAAATGAAAAATAAATAAATCTGAGAATCTTGAGCCCATTTGGTCCCTGGGAAAATAAGAGAAGGTGGAAAGCTTGCAAAAGATCTGAATAAAGGTGGCCTGATTTTGTGGAATGCAAGAAATGAATAGGGATAGGAAAGTGGGAATATAATTTAATGATAAGTGAAAAGATGGAAATGTGTTTTGGTATAATTGACTATGTGCATGGAGCAATCCTTGGGCTGGTGTGAGTTGCATGTTACTTTCCAGCAAATGGTGAAAATCGGAAGGATACCAAAATGGTGACAGATGAATATGTATTAAAAAAAATAACATTTCAACTATGTGGTTCAAGCACAAATGTAGTCATGGTGAAGTGAAGTCATAGTAGAGAAGGAGCAAGTATACATCTCAAATATAAGTCAGCGATGTGACTGATTATGATGAAGGACTGGGAGAATTAGTGAAGGATTAGCACTGTAATTCCACAAGTTGGAACACATTTGGAGAGAGTCCATAACAGACAGCAAGGGATCCTAAGGGTTTCCCAAATTCCCCCTTGGGTTATCTCCCATCCACTTACCAGGGCACTTCAGCTGATTACAGGTGTCTCAACAGGCAGCTAAACAAGATTGCCATAGACTCACAGAGGTGTGTCTTGGTCTTAGGAGAAGCTCTTGGAGATGAAGTGCTAGAAGAGAAATTGCAGAGCTCACGAGTGGTCATTAACACCAGTTCTACTAGGAAGTGATGCAGATCATAGTCATTTCACTAAGTAATTATTCAAGACTTAACTATGCGAATAGCTGCATGTGCTGCACAAGAAATTACTTGTGGATGGGTGGGGAATCTGGTTGCCATGGAGGTCACACCAAACTCAATGAACCATGACTGAATTCCTTCAACAAAGACCAAGCCAAGAGGGGACAACCTGGACAACAGTACCTGTTTCCCAGACAAACGCTCAGTCATTTCACACATGGAAATGATGTGTTTGGTCACATGTATCCTTAAGTCTTGAGCTCACGGCCCTTGGAGAAGACAACTGGAGTACTGTCTAAGATCTTGGAGTGATGCTTAGCCAGGCTTAGAAATGAGCTTGGATGAAACTAGATGCTGAAAGGAATATTTTGCAGATTGTGTGTGTGTCTGTGTGTGTGTTTTGGTATAGATAGTAATCCAAGAAAAAGTATGAAAATAATCTGTCATAAGAACTTTTAAAAAACAGCAAGGCTGCAGGTATACATGGTGCAACTAGAGAAACGTTAAAATATGAATGGTTTGCTTATTAAGGGGCTGTGAGATGTTTCATTTATGTTAAGACTCGTAGCTGTCTGAAGATCAGGAAGAATGACATTTTTGCAAAGGGAAACGTTGCAACCATGAATTCAAAAACTACAGGAAGCTCCTTATATTAAGTGTTCTTGGTTGTGTGCCTGGTGTGCCTGCTTAATAACAATAAAAAATATACAATACAAAACAGCGGAATGGGAGAAATACAAGGCAGCAATACTATTAGGTTTGAAGACCAAATTTCCACTGTTAAGCAGTCTGAATGTGAAAAATACATTTATTGGGGATTTATTGATGTAGAGAAAGCAAGTGGGCCAGGCACTCGCCTCCGACTCAGAAGGCTGAGAATTCGATCCTGGGCAGTGACAGATGTTTCTCTATCAGGGCACAAAGAGAAAATATCTGTTGTGAACTCTGTTAGGTGTCAGATAGGGCATCCGGCCAGTAAATGTTCGGCTCCATTCAGTCACCCTGATTCTACACCAATAAAAAGGATTAGAAGGTCTTAAAAAGGAAAAAAAAATGATATCAAGAAAGCATAAAGTGAACAGCTTTATATTATGGAATGCTTGAGTGATTGTGGAAAAGAGATTGTGATTGCCAAATTCAGTAACAACTTTTTACAATGGAAGTAAAGTTTCTGTGGGGTGAAGTACAGGTGATCCTCATTTACTGACTGCCCCATGCAGCCATTGTTCAAAGTTAAAATGGTAGCAAAAAGTAACTTTGCAACCAATCCTCACATTTACAATTGTTGCAGCATCCCGCAGTCACCATTCTTGTGCTTCGCAACCGATGTGCATTTAGCACCAATGCAGCATCCTTCAGTCACCTGATTGCTATTTGCATGTTTTTTTGCTTGCATGAAGCAGAGTTAATTCTATACAATTTGGCATGAAAGGTAGCAGTCATGTGATTTTTTTTTCACTTAGTGACCACATCTCTTTGTTTAACATTTGAGAGGCTGCCACAAAGAAGACGAGGGGGGGTTCAACCTATTTTCCAAAGCACCTGAAGGCAGGACAAGAAGCGATAGATGGAAACTACTCAAGGACAGAAGCAACCTGGGACTAAGGAGAAACTTCCTAACAGGGAGGACAATTAACCAGTGGAACAGCTGGCCTCCAGAAGTCGTGGACGCTCCGTCACTGGAGGTTTCTAAGAGGAGACTAGACAGTAACTTCTCTGAAATGACACAGGATCTCCTGCTCAAGCAGCAGGTTGGACTAAATGATCTTCCACTCTATTCCAATTGATAGAACAACTGAAAGGAAAATAAGGCTGTAAATCCAATCATGGTCACATGGCTTTTTGCTTAGCAACTGAGTTGTTGGTTCCAACTGCGATTGCTAAGCAGGAATTATCTGTAGAATGACAGATTATGTGCCATCAAGTTATTTTCAACTCCTAATGACCACGTAGATAGGTTTTCTCCATGACAATCTGTTCTGAAGGCAAGCCATTCCACTGGTTAATTCTCATTATTAGGAAGTTTCTTCTTAATTCCAGGTTGCTTCTCTCCTTGATTAGTTTCCATCCATTGTTTCTTGTCCTGCCCTTCAGATGCTTTGGAGAATAGGTTGACTCCTCTCTTCTTTGCGGCAGTCCCTCAAATACTGGAAGACTGCTATCATGTCACCCCTGGTTCTTTTTTCACTCATCAAGAAATGAAATTGGGATGGCTATAACTGGAAGAGCAGATCTCATGTGACTTGCTATCTTCATGTTCTTAATGAGCTTAAAGCAACTTTCACGGGGAAAAGTTGCTGTATGTGAGATTTCATTACTGCAACCAGTTTATAGATTTGCAATTGAATTTGCTTATTAGATTTTCCATGATGCCGTCCCTGAGCTCTCCCAACAGTATCCCAACCTTGCTCTGATCCTCTTCTTCCTTCCATCTTTCCCAGCATCAGCGCCCTTTTCCCAGAGACCTGGGTCTTCGCCTCATGTGTCCAAAGTAGAATAATTTGAGCTTGGTCATTTGTGCCTCACGTGAGAATCTGAGTTGGGTTTTTTTTTCAGTGACCCAACAGTTTTTTTTCTTTGGCTATCCATTGTATTCTCAAGAGTCTCCTCCGACATTCAAAGACCTCAAAACTTTTCCTATCCTGCTTCTTAAAAATTCAGCTTCTGCTTCTGTAGAGCATGACAGGCAATAGTAAGGCCAGAGGTGGTATTCAGCAGGTTCTGACCAGTTTTGGAGAACCGGTAGTGGACATTTTGAGTAATTTGGAGAACTGGCAAATCCCACCTCTGAGTGGAGATTCTACGGTATCCTTCCCCTGCCATGCCCACCAAGCCACATCCACAGAACCGGTAGTAAAAAAAAAATGAATCCCATCACTGAGTAAGACTTACCCAATTTTGAACTTTGTAAGCATAGACACATCATAGCATTTAAAAATCTTTTCCAAGGTCTTCATGGCTGCTCTACCAAGTGCTATGCTGTGTATTTCATAGACTCATATTTCTTGACTATTATTCATTTACCGTTGATGGTCCTGGGAGGCCAGTGCTCTCCACCACTTTGTAATGTCAGTTCCAAGATTGGTTGATGTACTTGCTGTCATTAATTTGTTTTGCTTTGTATTTAATGTTAGTCCCATTTTTCATAGAACTATGAGGCTGGAAGGACTCTTGGAGGTTCAACCGATTGCCCAAGGAAGGAGTCCTCATACGACAGACAAACCACAGAACCAAAGACCACGAGGAGCTCTTGAACCTCCAGTGCCCCCCATGCACTCAACCTGTCCTCATCAGAGGAATGGTTATTAAATCTTTTCTTGAGACCTCCTGCGATGCAAA